CCACACATACCCACACTGCTCACACATGTACACACTCAGTCACACCCACACATACCCACACTGCTCACACATGTACACACTCAGTCACACCCACATACCCACACTACTCACACATGTACACCCTCAGTTACACCCACACATACCCACACTGCCCACACATGTACACACTCAGTTACACCCACACATACCCACACTGCCCACACATGTACACACTCAGTCACACCCACGTATACACACACTGCTCACACATGTACACACTCAGTCACACCCACTGCTCACACATGTACACACTCAGTCACACCCATGGATACCCACACTGCTCACGCAGGCCACCAGACACTGCTGTAAGCTCACCCACATGCTGGGCACGGGCAGAAGCTATAGTCATCCAGTGCACACTTGGAGCCCTACCCACCTTGCCAACCTGCCCCAGAGGGAGTTGAACCACTGCCCGTCCCCCGTCCCCTTGCCAGGAGGACCCCTCAGCTCTGAAAAGCTGAGTTTGTCTCTGAAGGGGATTCCTGAGGCTCCTGGCAGGACTAGGAATTGCAGACCCCCCTTGTCTGCCCTTCCAGGGTGCAGTGGGCCTGGATTCTCATGGCCGAGGGTGACAGCACCTACACTGGGGTCCTCAGACTGGGTGTCAGGGTGGCCCCCAGCTTAGCCCCCTGCCTCCCCTGCCCAGAACCAAGTACAAAAGTGCAGCCCCTCATACCTGTTTCTGCCTCAGACACCAAGGGCTCTTGTGGCAGAAAACAAACAAGACCAACACAAGGACCAGAACCAGAATGCTCCCAGAGATGGACCAAGACCGCTGTGACGCTGTCTGGGCTGCAGGAGACAGTGATCAGGGTCCGCATCCCCCCAACCCATCTGGAGCACCCCAGGGGAAGACCCTGATTCTGGAGGTGCTGGCAGAGTACCTACCTGTTACGGGAGGGATGGACTCACCTTCACTCTTGGTATTGGTCTCGACTTGGGGTTCTACCAGAGACAAAGCAGACAGGTTATGGAGATAAGCCAGGTCCCCCTCAAAGGGGCCGCTGTGCTGGACTCCCAGTCGCAGACCCCCAGGAGAGCCCTGTCCAAACATCCCATGACAATCGGATTGGTCTCAGGGTATTGAGGGCCAAGTGCCAGGAAGGACAGGGGTGGGGTCGTAGGAGGTCTTCAGAGATGGGAGGTTCTGCCCTGGGTGGGTGGGAGGGTGTGGGAGCCACAGGAAGTGGTGGGGGGAGCAGCAGGATATGGGCAGAGGTGAGGGTGGGGGAAGGAGGAGATGGCAGAGGGAGGGAGTGGACAGAGGTCATTGGGGCTGAGGACACATTGGGAAGGGGCATGTGCACAGGGCAGGGGGGATGGACTTGGGGGCGCTTGGGAGGGAGTGGGACAATAACAAAATTGGGAAACAAGGACCAGCGA